CCTAGCTAGGCATAAAAGCAAGAATAGATCTAGGTATTGTCATCTTTGGTATGCAATCCATAAGTGGCTCTCATAATTTCATAAGGGAATTTAATTTTCTTTTTAGGAAAATGTTCCATGCCTTTCCTTAACGGAAATTGGAATCTAATATTTCCTTCTTTCATGTCAATAATTGCACCAATCGTTCTAAGAAAAGGTCTACCAAGAATAATAGGACATGTAGGATTGCAATCTATATCAAGAACGATAAAATCTATGGGCACATAATTCCTATTTGCAACAATAAAAACATCATTAATTCTTCGCATAGGTTTCTTAATGGTGAAATCCGCAAGATGCAAATTTAAAGAACAATTATCAAATTCACAGAAACCTAACACATCACACAAAGTTTTTGGAATCGTGAAAACACTAGCAGCCAAATCAACGAAGTTATTCAGATGGGTAGCGGCATCTTCACTAGGAAATCCAGAAAATTTATCTTTCATGACAAGATTCAACAAAGCATCATTAATTTCACAAGATTCAGCATTGGTAATAGGAGCAATCAGAGTGCTAATAAAATCATTGTTGTTGGTATTGGAAATGTCACATAATTTAGTATTATCTTAAGCCATCGTGACAGACAAACAATCCAACACACAGTCACACAAGAGGCAAGCGAAAAGAGGCGAACGAAAAGGGGCGAATAAAACAACAATGGTGAAGTGGGGGAGAGGAAAATTGCAAATAATGTAATGCGAGGAAGAAGAGTTTATGATGGGTACGTGGTATGTCTTGACTTGAGCGTAGATCTCCCCGGCAACGGCGCCAGAAATCCTTCTTGCTACCTCTTGAGCATGCGTTGGTTTTCCCTTGAAGAGGAAAAGGGTGATGCAGCAAAGTAGCGTAAGTATTTTCCTCAGTTTTTGATTACCAAGGTATCAATCTAGTAGGAGATAACACACAAGTCACCTAGTAACTACACAAACAATCAAGAACCTTGCAACCAACGCGATAAAGAGGTTGTCAATCCCTTCACGGTCACTTGCGAAAGTGAGATCTGATAAAGATAGTAAGGTAAATATTTTTGGTATTTTTGTTATATAGATTGCAAAATAGTAAACAAGATGCGATGTAAATAAAAGAGATGCAATATAATAATAAAAAGACCCGGGGGCCATAGATTTCACTAGTGGCTTCTCTCATGATAGCAAGTATTACGGCGGGTGAACAAATTACTGTCGAGCAATTGATAGAAGAGCGCATAGTTATGAGAATATCTAGGCAATGATTATGAAATATAGGCATCACGCCCGTGTTAAGTAGACTGAAACGATTCTGCATCTACTACTATTACTCCACACATCAACTGCTATCCAGCATGCATCTAGAGTATTAAGTTCATAAGAACAGAGTAATGCTTTAGGCAAGATGACATGATGTAGAGGGATAAGCTCAAGCAATATGATATAAACCCCATCTTTTTATCCTCGATGACAACAATACAATACGTGCCTTGCTGCCCCTATATCACTGGGAAAGGACACCGCAAGATTGAACCCAAAGCTAAGCACTTTCCCCCATTGCAAGAAAGATCAATCTAGTAGGCCAAACTAAACCGATAATTCGAAGAGACTTGCAAAGATATCAAATCATGCATATAAAAATTCAGAGAAGAACCAAATATTGTTCATAGATAAACTTGATCATAAATTCACAATTCATTGGATCTCGGCAAACACTCCGCAAAAAGTATTACATCGAATAGATCTCCAAGAACATCGAGGAGAACTTTGTATTGAGAACCAAAGAGAGAGAAGAAGCCATCTAGCTAATAACTATGGACCCGAAGGTCTGTGGTAAACTACTCACACATCATCGGAGAGCCTATGGTGTTGATGTAGAAGCCCTCCGTGATCGAATCCCCCTCCGGCAGATCACCAAAAAAGGCACCAGATGGGATCTCACGGGTACAAAAGGTTGCAGCGGTGGAAAAGTGGTTTCGTGGCTCCCCCTGATGTTTTTAGGGTATAAGAGTATATATAGGCGAAAGAAGTACGTCGGTGGAGCTCCGTGGGGCCTACGAAGGTGGGGGCGCGCCCTCCTGCCTCATGAAAGCTTCGCGGAGTTTCAGACTTCAACTCCAAGTCTCGTGGTTTACGTTTGTTCCAAGAAAGATCCTCACGAAGATTTCGTTCCGTTTGGATTCCGTTTGATATTCTTTTCTGCGAAACACTAAAATAGGCAAAAAACAGAAAATGGCACTGGGCCTCCTCTTAATAGATTAGTTCCAAAAATAATATAAAAGTACATATTAAAGCCCATTAAACATTCAAACCAAATAATATGATAGTATGGAACAATAAAAAATTATAGATATGTTGGAGACGTATCAGCAGAAAACTTGTAGTTCAAGGCATAGCCCACTATTCAAGTTGTGATCTAGCGAACATAAAACTCTAAGTGAAAGTTCAACTTCACAGTCTCCACTAAGCACTGGTATATAAACAATGTTTTGAAACTAAATGATGAGATGTGCCAATGAGACTTTGTGGGGGATTGTTGGAATTTTGCTAGTAGACCTTTGCCCCAAAGCCCAACTAAAATTCTGAAATTCTCTTGACCCATTCATGCACACATGTGAGTGGAGTGAGTGAGACTAGAGTTTAGTCCCACCAGGGAAGTTAAGAGAGACTTGCACCTCTTTATAATGTGAGCTCTTCTACCACTTGTATGAGCATGAGAAGAGGAGACCTACACGCGCGCTCCTCCTCCTCGCTCGCCTCGCCACGCCTCACCTCGTCACGACGTGCCGCGGGTTGCGGGGTTGAGACGAGCCAAGGACAGAGCTATGCACATTGTCTATATTTTTGCTGCTCGAGAAAAATTAATGAGTCATTAATTAATAATTAACGAACGTGTTAATTACTGAACCGTTTCCGATTCTTTTGGATCGTGATGACTCGGACATGGGGTTTACCTCCGACAACCTACCCGACCCGCACTATATAGTCAGGCAGACGTCCACCCTAGCAGCCGCTGCTTCATATGGTTTCGCACCACCGTTCCAGATCATTGCGCCGCCAAGCAAGTCTTCTCCATCCCTCCTTTCGGCGTGCACTAGGAGAAGGGACAGCAGGCCTCCGGAACCCCGCCTCTCGTGATCCTGTACGGGAGAGAGGCGATCAAGTTTCTAGGGAGCACACTTGCGCGACTGCTGGCAGCGATGACTTCGCCAACGACGACTTCTTCCCCAACCTCGGCAACCTCATCCTCGACGACATGGGCGACAACGTCAACGTCGGCGGTGCTGCTCCCACTGCACCGTATGTGATTCTATCCTTCCTGTTCGAGATCGTGATAGAATTCATGTTTCTAGTATGTGTCCTAGATGTGATCTGTTCATCTACTATGCTAGTTCGCATGCTTAGTTTAATCTCTTCTATTGCAGTGATGATTTATCTTATGTTTATTAGGATTAAATCTCGTAGTAATTTGCTCGTATTTCCAACACATTTCGGATAGATGCCATCTGCTAGGTAGTATCCCTTGTAGTGGCGCCCATTGACCTCAAATTTCACCGGAGGAGCATGACCTTTAACAAGCTCGACAAAGACATTCGAGCACTGCAGTATGTTGATGTCATTGTGAGTTCTTGGCATACCAAAGGAGTGCCAAATTCAGAGGTCGTGTGTGGCTACTGCCTCAAGTACCACACTGCAACCACCTTTGACGCCTTTGTACATCCCCTGCCAAGCAAATGGATAGTTTTTCAATTCCCAATGAATGCAGTCAAATGCTTCCAAGCATTTCGGGAAATACTCTTGCTGCATTATGTGCTAGGATCCGAGCAGTGTCTTCAACATTGGGTGATCGCAAGTATTGAGATTCAAACACTGCCACCACTGCCCTGCAGAACTTGTACAAACCCTCAATGGTCGTGGACTCGGCCATGCGTCCATAGTCTTCCAGTGAATCACCGGGATCTCCGTATGCAAGCATCCTCATAGCTGTCGTGCACTTATGGAGTGAGGGTGAATCTAAGTGTGCCGGTACAATCCTTCTTGCACTTGAAGTAGTTGTCAAACTCACAGAAGGAATTCACAATCCTGAGGAAAAGCTTTCGACTAATCCGATAACGGCGCCGAAATACTTTCTCACCGTGCAGTGAAGCGTCGGCAAAGTAGTCGGAGTAGAGCAAGCAATAGCCTTCCAGGCGATGCCTCTGCTTTGCCTTCAACCGGCCCGGCGCCGAGCCACCTCGCTGCGGCTTTGCATTGCTCACGAACAGGCCAGCCAGTGCGACGAGGACCATGAGATGCTCTTCCTCCTGGGTGTCGCCATCGGCTTCCTCCTCCAGCAGCGCCGTGAACGCCTCCTCGTTGTCTGAGTCCATTGCCGAGCAGACAAATCGTCAAACACCTGGCGGGTGTGGTAGGCGCGCAACCGCCAGTATCCCCGCCCTGCGTGGCCGGAGCATCGGAAAGCTCGCCCAGGAGCGGGGTGGAGGCTGCCGCGGCGAACCTTCTCTTTTCCGGGCGAGGAATGTCCTTTCTAGCGGCGGTGGGTGGGTAGGCAGCGCCAGGATCGGCACGGCGACGAAAGGGCGTGCACGCACGTGGGGGAGGGGGGAATCTGGAAGTGAAAGATGCTTTTTCGCCTGCGGGTTTTCCTTCCCCGGAGCGCCCCCTAGTGCGCTGGGTTCGGTGGCCTCGGATCGCCGGCCCAAAAAAATGGGTCGAGCCAGCGGATTTCGTCGTTCTGGGATGCGACTGAGGGATTTTCTCGGCGTCGGCACGAAAAAACTTGCCCTGGGGCTGTTGAGGGCGCGAGTGGAGATGCTCTTAAAAAAAAGAACAAGTAGCTGGACTGGTTCGTGTTCCATCGCCCCTGCCACTGCCACTGCCACCCTTTTATATACCAACACCAACGTGCCCTGTCCTCCCTGCGCTTGCTTCACCTGCTGCTCCGTACACACACATCACAGAGCACAAGCAATAAGCCTGCAGAGAGAGGGAATGGGCGAAGAAGGGGCAGCTGCTCCGTTGCTGGATGGGAAGCTTAACGCGAGGAGAAGCGAAAATGGCGACGGAGAGGCGGCAGCAGCAGCAGGGAGAAGGAGGTGGTGGCGGTGCCTGTGGGACGCGGAGGAGGCTGCGGGGCAGGTTGCCTTCGCGGCGCCCATGGTGGCCACCAGCATGGCCTTCTACGCCATCCCGCTCGTCTCCGTCATGTACGCCGGCCGCATCGGCGACCTCGAGCTCGCCGGCGCCACGCTCGGCAACTCGTGGGCCACCGTCACAGGCATCGCGCTCATGGTACCAATTATATACCATATTTCGCCTCATCCTTCTTCTCCATTGATTTGATCTGATTCCAAGGGAAGGGGCCGGCTTCTCCTCCTCTCTGTCCCTTTCGCCGTCCCTCCCTGTATGCATCGAAAACAATGTTTACCTACCGAATGTGCTGTTCTCAGCTTGAGCTCATATGAGCTTGGTATTTAATTTTTACTGCCACCACTCCATAGTCTCCATTGCTCAACTAAGTTGCCCGTCATAGACATATGCTCCATCATTCATTGTATCACTTAGATCTGTCTCCAAAACTAGAATAACAATTACTCACTTTGATCTGTCTGCAGATTAATTACTCAGACTAGAGTTACCATAAATAAATAAATGAACAACTAGTTGTATCAGTTAATATCCTAAAGCGTATTTGGTTAGGTCCTTGACATGTACTGTACTATATAGGTCTGTAGTGGTTATCTAAGCTTTGTTAAATATATTAATTATGGTGTAAATGACGCGAATGGCTTCTCAATCTTGGATTGGGACGTTTACTTGAGGCTTTTTCACGAGCTTTGGTGTATAAGGAATCATAGCCATTGCACAGGATTAGCTTGTGAATATGTTTTCTTAAAGGATAAATAAATGAATGCATTAATAAACTAGTATGATATTCTTTCAGTGTTGGGTTATGTTGCAGTCACTGGGCAATATGAACATCCAGCATTGATACTTCTTTTTGAGAAGAATGTTTCAAAGAGAGGACTTGTCTAGACAAGGATACAGAGGACTTGGACCAGACAAATTCTAAAACCCCTATTATGCTGGCACCTAAAACCTGTCGCTTTAGTCCTTACACATTTATTCTAAAAAAAGGAAAAGTCCTTGCGCATTTGCCTGACTATGGCCTAACCTACTTGCTAATTTTAAATGGATGCAAGGAATACACAGACAAAACTTCAACATGCCATTTGGCTTCAAATTCAACACAAGGAAACATCAAAGTGCAGCAGAAATTTATGCACAGAATCTCTTTTTTCTCTTAAGATGAAAGCAATGCCATGCTGTGCCATTTCAGTACATGAGCTATGATCAGTTGTCTAGCCGGTAGGTATTATAAGACTGGTCAACTCCTATATTCATGGCTATATATATGTCAGTACTAGTGTGTTGTGGTTGCAAAGATAGTGTTGGCTGTGAAGCATAGAGTCAACTCTCAAGTATGCTTCGTTATAATAGGCAAAAGTTTGTCAGGCTAGGACCATTGTTGTAAGATTGCCATGGATCTTTCATCGCCAATGTAGACAGATTTGCACATGCCCTTTATCCGGATCCCAGGAATTAAGCATATGTCAGGCTTCAGAATAAACACAGCACATGGTCACAGGTTGAGACAACTGAGGAAGTCAAATCCTGAACTGTACTAGTACTACTATGGTAGTGCAGTATGTTGCTGTGATTTCTTCAGCCCTGGTTAGACTGGTTGTTCCTATTGAGAATTTTCAACTTTGCAACAGTTTGATGTTTCCATCCCTTCAGTTTACCACAAAACCTTACGCAATGCATATTTTAGTAGAGAAACCAAGAGGAACAGCGCATACTGATGAACTGACTACCTTGTTCCCATGCAGACTGGGTTAAGCGGGTCTCTGGAGACGCTTTGCGGCCAAGGCTATGGCGCAAAGGTGTACCGCATGCTCGGCGTGTACCTCCAGGCATCCATCATCACCTCGGCTCTCTTTTCAGTCCTCGTTTCGCTCCTGTGGCTCTACACCGAGCCACTCCTCATTTTCCTGCACCAAGACCCCGAGGTCTCAAGAATGGCAGCGGTGTTCCTGCGATACACAATCCCGGCACAGTTTGCCTTTGGCTTCATCCAGTGTATCCTCAGGTTCCTGCAGACACAGTCCGTGGTGATGCCACTGGTGGCGTTCTCGCTCCTGCCACTGGTGTTCCATGTCGGGATTACCCATGCCTCCGTGCACTACCTGGGGCTTGGCTTCGCAGGCCCAGCCATGTCAACTTCGCTGTCTCTGTGGCTATCTTTCATTATGCTCGCATCCTATGTGATGTTGTCGACGAGATTCAAGCAGACCTGGGCGGGATTTTCAACAGAAGCGTTTCAGTACGTGCTGCCCGGCCTCAAGTTAGCTGTTCCCTCTGCAATGATGGTGTGGTTAGTACACTTACAACGATCTCAGATCCATTCATTGATCGCCTCTTAATATATCCCCATACTGAGAATATATGATTGTTACCTACAAATGGCAGCTTTGAATACTGGGCGTTTGAGATATTGGTGTTGCTTGCTGGGCTGATGCCAGATTCTCAAATGAGCACTTCTATTATTGCGATGTGGTAACTATCTTTCTCTCCCTTCATATTGAGTACTGAAGATCATGTTTATGTGTCCATAAAATGCTAACATCAGTGTGATGCAACCTGACAGTGCAAACACGGAATCAATTTCATACATGATCACCTACGGGTTCGCTGCTGCCATCAGGTAATACTGCTACGATAACTGATGACACCCATGTCATCAACCCTTGAGGATTTTGCAACAAAAAGAAAAAAAAATGTCCTTTAAGATTAAGTTGACAATGCTGACTTAAAAAGTGCTGTTTCATTTCAACAGCACAAGGGTATCGAATGAGCTGGGAGCAGGTAACATTGACAAGGCAAAGAAGGCACTCAAGGTGACGCTCGCGCTCTCCCTACTCCTGGGAGTGACATTTCTTCTGCTCCTAGGTCTTGGCCATAATTTGTGGGCTGGGCTGTTCAGCAAGAGTGAGGCAGTGATAAGTGCATTTGCTTCGATGACTCCATTTCTCATTGGGTCAGTGGTGCTGGACTCCACTCAGGGAGTCCTGTCAGGTTAGTTCAATGGATCTCTCTAAATGTGTTTCAATCTTATTGTTTCAGGTGAAGGCCATTTGGCAGTAACCTGTGGATAAACTTGTAGGGGTTTCAAGAGGCTGTGGTTGGCAGCACCTGGTAGCATGGACCAACTTGGTGGCCTTCTACATAATAGGCTTGCCATTGTCTCTCCTACTTGGATTCAAGCTTGGCTTTCATACTAAGGTACAGACATGTCTTTCTGAAATTCAGCATCTATCTCAGGCATGTTTGTTGTGCACAAACCACCGCTACAAAGTACAAACTACTGTTCTCCTCACTGATCATGTGCAATTACCTGTTTCAGGGATTATGGATGGGTCAGATATGCGGTCTCCTTTGCCAGAACGCTGTTCTCCTGTTCATCACGCTCCGAACAAAGTGGGAAAGATTGGAACTGGCGACAAACAGCAAAGAGGGTGACCTTATCTGTTGAGAATTTATAAAGCTTGTTAGGTTTAACTTGAACATGGGGCTGGAAGTTTGAGAGATCAAGTGTTGTAAATGTAGACAGTACCAAGCAACATACCCTGAACATGCTTGGGTGTAGCTAGTAGCAAGTAGGAAGAGCTGAATAAAATGTCGCGCCAGTTTTGTGTGATAAAAAAGATCTGGAATGGTGTACCGATACCTCCGAAGCAGTGTTTGCTATTATGAATATATGATGCTAGAATACAAACAGAGTTCAGAAATATGTATGTTTGCTAATATTGCAGAAAATATCACATTGCTGACTAACTAGCGATGCTAAAAAAGCATATGATACAATATTGTCTGCTTTCCTAAGGTAACTCAGATACCAAACTAGACAGGTGACTTACCTATCACTAAGAGAAACAACATGATCATCATCACTATTACTCTAAGAGGAGCAGATCCCATATAACTAACCCTCGCTTCAAGAACCAACAGGATCAACTACGACTGCTGAGATCCCTCCAGCGACACCAGCTTGAGCACACTTTTCGGTGAACCAACCAACAGGATCAATCGTCTTCGATGCATCTTCCCGAAGAAAAAGCAGTAATTGCATCCGTCCGCTCCAGAGTTTGTATCAGTGCACAGCCAGTTTAAGTACCATGCATGTAGAACAGGCCATCACGTGATCCCATCCAAGCCCCCCAACTGTGGTTTAGATCAAACAGCGAAGAAGAACCATCCAAGTCAAGGTTGCTTTCTGGCCAGCAAAGTGCAGTGAAGAGAGTGTCAGCCACGCTCTTCGCAAATATTTGCTCGCCTGTTTTGATGCTCCAAATACGGACGGTACAGTCCTCCCCACCTGCCAAGAATAAGGATTTGCTGAAAATGGCAATTTGCCAGGAATGTTCTAGCCATGCACGTTCATAAAGATGTCACTATGTTGTTCATTGTCCTGTATAGCCTAATAAAGTAAACATGGACCAGCTAGTAACAGCATAGTTTTCTCGAAATTTAGCTTTCACAAACTCATGATTCGATATTGCAGTAATTCCAGGAATGCCAAAGCCCTCTTACACTTGTATATCATACAGAAAAACTATAGGTGGGGATCTTTTTAATACCAATGCATCTGTTACTGACACACTGCATGAACAAGCATAGCTGCTGACATTTATCAAATTTAAGTCTAATGCTCACAAACTGGAGTATGAAGTGAGGTACTCGAGTGAAAATGCAAATAATACATCGAAATGTTTTTATCGATCCAAAAAACCACATTCAGTTTCAATGGGTAACCTCAAAAGACATTCTTCATAGCAGTATATGACAAAAACAACCACAATGATGTCTAGAACCAATAATAAATTTACCTGACATAAGTAGGGTTTCAGATGGATCAACAACAAGTGGTAAATTATTGTGTGAATTCACATGCCCTGCATAAGACTGTATAGCCCCCTTCTGAATGAGACGGAGATCAAATAGCTTGATCTGTACAACAGAAAACACAAAAGTCAAGCTGCTGCATGAAACATTTGTTACCATCTCAGAGAAGCATGATGCTCTGTACTTTCCTCACTTCAGAGGCAATAATTTCAGATAAGACAGAATTATAATTCATTTTAAATAATACTGTATAATTTATCTGTCCCAAAATGCTGAAATTGTATCAATTTGAAATTCGCTGGATACAATAAAGCGTCAACTCATTATGCTGCTAATATTTGTAATGAAGATGCAGGAAACATGTAATCCTTTTAACTCATTATGCTGCTAACACACGAAACTTTAACTAATACTCTCTCCGTCCCAAAATAAGGGTCTCAACTTTGTACTAACTTTAGTACAAAGTTGTACTAAAGTTGAGATAGTTATTTTGGGACGGAGGGAGTATTAGTTAACATCTGGGAACTGGGCAATAACCCCTTTGGGGAGGACTAAATCTCATTGATTTATTTCACGGGGCAAATAAACCAGTGTATCTTATATTCTCACTATCTTCTTTAAATAATGTGTCGGGGGGCTACTCTCAGCCTCATTTTTTCTATTACTGTAGGTAACATCTTGTTACCCCCGCAAATAAACATCTTGTTAAACTGCACTGAGTTTTAAGAAAATATTATCATTAGTGGCAAATCAATCCTGTGAAAATTTGAGCACATCTACTCATTCATTGATACCACAAAAAATGATTAAGAACAAGCTTACCGATCCATCCATGGAACTCCCTAAGAAGTAGTGTTCATCCGATGACAGAGAAACCAGGCTGGGTAACAATATCAATTTTTAGCACCAAGAAACTTGATCATGTCCAAACTAGAGTGTCAGCAAGCCAAGAATAATAGTGGTTACCTGCAAACTGCTGAAGGCATAGAGATAACCCTAGATGATTTTGCCTTATCAGCCTGCAAGGATTTTTATTTCCAAACCACAATCATATGATACATTCATTGATGGGCTGAATTGCCTAATTAGGCATTCAAAATATCATTTTATTCTAGTGATATGTCAAAGTACAAAAAAAAACTTGAACAATGCCGAGATGGTAACTTTTGATGGCTACATTAAACACACTGTGAGCTAATAGTGGTATTTACCTGGTTTCTCCCTCTGGCATTATGCCTTGCAGACAGCATGGGAACTGTCCCCCTAGCAGTGCTAGGTGAAGATCGACCAGTAGGTTGATTACTGTGCCTTTCCCGCACATCAACAGGGACTATGCTCCCATTCCGTAGTCCACATAGCACCACATTTCCCTGAACAAGATGAGCAAAATTACATGAGCATAGTGGAGACAGGCAAAGGTATGTTGTAGTAACTACGCCAAACGTGGCAATTTGGCAGCAACAGCAACCATTTAATAATCAAATCACAGATGAAAGCTCAAAGTTCAGGAACCAGCTAGAGAACTCATACAAATATATGTACCGTCTAGAGCTCTATACAACAAAACAAAGGCATTAGGCATTTATTCAGCTATTCATAGAAGACAAAAAGTTTTGGTGACTCTCCTGACGATACACACCTAACAGACCATTGGACATATGAAACCTACTACTAAGTGGAAATGTATACATTTAAAATAATTTGTTACCGAGTGCACAAATTGCTGGGAGAGAATGTCACTTTTACAACGATACAGCCATGATAATGTCCCCGTCTCCAAATTAAGCAAACCAGCGCCAGTGTTTGTACCTAGAAATAATATGAGCAAAAATGCTTAATAATCCACAAGCTTAATTGATACAGAAGAAGTTCTTCCACTGCCTACTCCCATAATTCCAAGAAAAAAGGACCTTCCACTTTCCTTGTATAAAATAGGCAACTTGCAAAGCTGGTACAGTTCTAAAAAAAGCTAAGTTGTGACAACAAGTTACTACAATACCTCCACCTAATGAAACAAATGACTTCAAAATTCAATGAACACGTATAACAAAGTTATGGTGGGAGGCAATTATACATACTCATAATAGCAAGCTAATCTTTCTGTGTAATTGTAGTCAGTTTCTATGTATAAATTCTTATAGAATGATCTTGCCATGTCAATACATTAAAAAGATTATCAAAGATTCTGAATGCAGCAAACTTCATAGTGTTATTACTACTCCCTCCGATCTATAATAAGTGTCGCAGCTTGAACTAATAGTTCAAAGCTGCGACACTTTTTTTGGATCGGAGGGAGTATTAAATAGCATAAAGTACTGCTGAAAGGATTATTAAAAAAAACAAATTCGTTACTCTGTGTAACAGGGGAACTTTGGGCATGGCCTAAACTGAAGTCCAGTCAGCCAACTCACCTAGAACTACTTGTGTGCCATCAGAATTACAATCAGCAGTCCATACTGTACGATCAAATGAAGCAACTCTTTCAATTCTTTCATGGGCATTCCGTGAAACCGTTGCAGAGTCGATAGTTGACATATCCATAATATAAACAGAACCACCGGATCCTCCAGATCCAAGAGTAGCCACCATGTTTTACGATGTCAAGTAACCCAAGCTCATGTTCAATTACCAGGCAATAGTACAGAACATAAAATGCACAAGTCGAAACACACGTAATTATGACAACAGTAATATGCATAATAGAAGAAACAATTTTGAGGATACAATGCTCGCTGAACCGATGAGTTGGCGCTGGCTGCATCATGGAAGTTGTGCCCAAACTTTTTTATGCAAGATATACTGGATGAGAAGTTTGAGAAAGCTGTTTCAGATGACCAGATATTTGCAAGTGGAGAATTCACTGCTGCTTTCTGCTTTCCCAAGGGAGTCCAAACAGGCTGAGGTAAAAACTCCATCTCATCCTCAAAATTCTCTAGAGCAGTTCCCAACCCAAATAATCTGCCAGATAAAAATATGTCATGCGACATGAAACACCAGTATGGTCACGCTTATACTCAAAGAGAACAACTGAATATCAAAGAATCCAACAATTTTTTAAACTTATAAAGCCATGCACATTCTGTCTTCAAGAAAAGAGAAATTGTTGTATTTGTGTTTTAGTAATTTCGTTTTCAAAATCCATTATTGCATAGCTTGTTAGCCGTTGGAGTATGTTGGCGGTATGGTATCAAGAATTCAGGATAACCTCAACTGATGGTACATCTATACTCCCGACAATCAATTGTCAAGTTCTAAAGCTTTTTCACTACACGGACAGAAAATGAGTGCTTTGGCAAACCTCACCTGATTGAACCATTCGTGCTGCCGGTCGCTAATAGCTTGGACTCACGCAGCCCACTCGGTGTCTGAACCATGGCGTGCAGTTCCTCCAGTGCCTTATCAGCCACTAAGGTTGTGCCTTGGTACTTCCAAACCTACCAAGCAGCGCTATGGTATCAGCATATATTGCACGAAACGAAAGGGAAAGCTGCAGCAAAAGAGAAGCTCGGATCAGCACCATGGGCTGCGACGCCTGTGTGTACTGGCACTGCTGCTTGAAGGTGGACTTGTTGTTCTTGGAGAATATCACACCACCGCCGTACATCTCTCTGGCATGCAGCAGCTCGGACTGCCTCGCCCTTTTCCTGCGTTCTGTGGGAGGAGGCGAGGGCTCAGCGGGCGGCGGCGGAGGGCGAGGCGGGCGGTTGGCGGCGCCGGGGATGCGGCCCTTGGTGGGAAAGTAGCGGTTCTTGTCCGGGTCGTAGTAGAACCCAGGCAGCTCTGCAGCCAATCAATCGCGTCGAGGTCAGGCGCAGCGCGACAAGTTGGCCGTTCGTGCAGAAGTAGTGGGGAGGAGTGCCTAGTGGAGAAGAGGAAAAGGACCAACCTTTGGGCGGCATGTCGCCGGCGTGGTGTTTGGAGTCAGCTTGAGAGGCGGCGGGGGATGGACGGCGGTGGCGCGGAACAGGAGTGCGGTGTGCGGCGCGTTGTTGTCGCCGGGAAGGGTGGACACCTGGTTCTTGTCTGGACTGGACCCGACCGGACCGACAACGCGCGGCCGGTTGCGAAACGGGCCAATTGTTGCGGCCCACCCACATTGATAGATTTTTTTTTTGAGCAACCCACATTGATAGATGGTGCTATTGCATCTGATGTTTCTTTTTTGCCTAAAAACAAATCTGATGTTTCTTTTCCCCTAAAAAAAATCTGATGTTTCTTTTTTGTGGCCTGTCCCGTGTGGTGCATTTGCGAACAAGCCAAATATTTGTGAATTTAAACATGTTAATTAATTTGAAAATATTCATAAATTAAAAAAGATCTTGAATTCAAAAAAATTATGAACTTAAAAAATATGCATTCAAAAATTGTTTCTAAATTAAAAAAGTAAAACAATAAAAGAAAAAACATAAGATGAAAAAATCCAAAAGAAAATTAAAAAATTGGTGAAGAAAAACTGAAAAGGAAAAGAAAGATGTTGTCTCCTTTTACATCTCTGTCAGCTCCATTGCTGCTGACTCCTTCTGCCCTCGTCCACGCCACAGTTAATGCCAACAACATCTACGCTACCACATCCACTGTCACCACCATGACTCTCCACCCCAGCAAGTTCAAACAGCGAGGGGTTTGTACTTTTTTTTCCTTTTCTGCTTTCCCATATCCAATTTCACGCAGACAAATGCGAGAAAAAACAGTGATCGGGTGTAGAGGAGTTGCCCAAAGGCCGGAATCCATATTTAGGATTACCGATGTCAATTCGACAATGGGCACTCCACTGTCATCGGATATTGCTATAAATAAGTTCAAAGGGTTGTTGGGATTATGGTTCGTGATCGAGTACAATGCACGTTGAGAAATGGAAATCAGTATCGGATAATCATTGGCAACCGTTCATTAACGAGATCATGATGTACCTCCTTGTAGATATGGAACACATGAAGGATGTTAGGTGAGCAACTCTTCTTACCACTAGGAATATTTCCCTGGATGGAAGTCCACCTTGACGACGAAGTTCGTTTGCCAGAATGCAGCTCCCTTACAATGTTATTTTCAAATTCAGCCATGTGTGTGGGATGAATTTGTGTGGCAAAGACCACACCGAAATTTAAAGAAAAGGCCAGAAACACAATGAAATTGCCAAATTGAACAAGTACCCACATCATATGGGAACCGTTGGGTATGCCGGCAAGGCCAAGGTATGTGTCGATGTCAAAACCGGCAGACCTCGGGTAGGGAGGGCCCGAGCTGTGAGATCGGATTGATGGGTAACAAGAGATAGAGGACACAGTGTTTTAACCTAGGTTCAGGCCCTCTTTAAGGAGGTAAAACCCTATGTCCTGCTCTTGCTTATATTATGAGTGCATAAAAGTACAGAGTTGATCTACCTCGAGATCGTGAGTTATGGTCTAAACCCTAGGGGTATTATGATGAATGAATCAAGTATCCTCTATGAAATAAACCCTTTGGTTTATATAGGCACCAGGGGTATCTAGGGTTATGCATGGTCGGTTGCCATCTAAGGATTACATGCCAAATCTACTAGATCTTCTAGGAGTACAGGCCAAGTCCTCGGTGAAGCTCGATATGCACTGGTCACAGGCCTCCAGAGTCCTTCCTCATTAACGAGCTGTCAGCTCGGCCCATGGACTAGGCCAGCTAGGCTAGGGCCCCCTAGTCCAGGACACTGTCAATAGCCCCCGAACTTGTCTTCGAAGCCGAGGATGATAATCTTTTTTGGATACTGTCTTTGGCTGGATGATCTATGACTTAGTAGGAAGGTTCCGCCCCAGGCCAAGCATCCGCACAAAGCTTGTAGATCCCCAATCGGATCATACCCCCCTTCTGACAAGGGATAAGATCAACCGACCACGCACTACCCAAAACGCATCTTCACTCATTCGAAGTGCATGGCTTGCGTAATCTTGAAGACTGGAAGCATAGGTGTGTTCAGCAGTCAATTACTGACAACTTTTTCCAAAGCGCCACCACCCGTGACACCATATGCATCAGTTATTACTTATTCGAATCGCGGTTCGAGGCAGCCCTCTCATTGGCATGTCGCACCTAAACAGAGACGTGCCCCGCGTTTTAGGGGATATCATCAATCGATTATTTCACCCAAAGCGGCCATAACAGCATGGCCATCCGAAACATGGCAATTTTTACGGTGCAACGGAGGGGACATTTCGCCTTTTACTGACTTATAAAGAGCAGGGCAAATCCATACTCCCACGCTCTCCTTCTACTCCGGCGCTCAAATTCTCCAAGATTCGACACCCCCAATCCCCTTTCCAAGCTTAACGCTTTCCCCAGTTCTCCGCTTCCCACACCAATGGCCGATGCGAATCTGAAGGAAGGTGGGTGGCCTCCAAGGTTACTGACGCCACCATCGTCGGGCTCCACACGGCGGGATACATTCCTGCCGACTCCGGCTGTAGGGCCCAGAGCCCGACAAACGTGTCCCCACTCCCATCCTTGGGGAGCGGGTCATCTTCATCCCCCACCTCATCCGAGGTCTGGGATTCCCCCTCCACCCCTTTGTGCAGGGGGGGGGAGGGTCTTGTTCTTCTACGGGCTAGATTTTCACAATCTAGCCCTGAGTTCCATCATGCACCTCACCACTTTTATCATAGTGTGAGGCATTCCTATGCGTAGAGTCACACTTCGGCCTATGGCTAAAGACCTTTTGCGTTAAGCCGAAGAGCTGCGACGCGGAGTTCGCCGAATGCGGTGGTGCCATGATCAACAAGCTCCAAAAGCCAGACTGGCTGGAGGGCACGTTCATCGAGACCGCGAAGATCTGGCAGCGCGAGTGGTTCTACATCACTGAACCGCTCATCCCAGGCTAGGCCGCGGTCCCCGTCTTCAAGGGTACACCGCCGAGGAAGCTGGTGTCCTAGCAGAAGCAGGGCCTGGAATGGGGTATCCCAGTCGAGGTCACTGCTCTTCAAGACAGGATCAGGGGCCTCAAGAAGAGATTCAAGCTAGTAGACGTGGTGGATGTGATGCTGCAGCGATACATCCTCTCACTCTAGCTCCGGGCTAGCCCTATGTGGCTCTACAAGCCCGAGGACATAGCAACACCGCGGAACTTCTTCCGCACCAACATAGATGGGATGTGGACGGCTCTCTTCAAGCCGTCCCAAAACGAATTCCCTGAAGATGGGACAGACAAGGCTACAGCGCCACATGTGGCCCCTCTGAGGTAACCATCATTTCGTATGTTAAATAATAACTCCATATTCCGCATTTTCCTAAGTCTTCCCCCTCCATTTTCAGAAGTGGGCGTCCATGGAGGCACTCGTCAAATGTGTTGTTTCGCTACCCAAAGACAACAAGACCCCCGAGCTACAAGCCCTTTTGGCCGTGGCGCCCCAAAGGCTCCGGCCAAGGCTATGGAGCCGGAGAAGAAAAGGGAGGGTCTTTGGATCCGAGACCCCTCAGACCCTAAGTCCGAGAACATCCGAGCTCTTTCCTCGGACGAGGAGGAAAGAGAGAGAGAGAAAGAAGAAGGGGAGGAGGGCTCTTCTTCCCTGCAGAGAAAGAGGGCGGCGTCTGAAGACACCACGGAGGCCAACACCGCCCAAACCCGCTGTCACCTTGTGAAGGTCGTCGACACCGCACCCTGCAAGGACCCTGCTGCGGCCGAGATCATCTCCTTTGAAATGGAGGACGGCCTCATCGAGCCGCACTGGCTAAGGATGCCGCCAAGGAGGTACACCTTAATCTTGTATGCGTCGTATACATGCTGGTTCCTAATTTCTATAAATCTATTTGATTATTCATCTTTTCGCAGCCCACAACGCTCCCACATCAGTGACAAATCGTCGTCGAGTGGGCTACCTCCACCCAGTGTTGGGGAACGTAGCATGTAATTTCAAAAAAAATTCCTACGCTCACGCAAGATCTATCTAGGAGATGCATAGCAACGAGAGGGGGGGAGTGTGTCCACGTATCCTCATAGACCAAAAGCGGAAGCGTTTGACAACGCGGATGATGTAGTCGAACTTCTTCTCGTTCCGACCGATCAAGCACCGAACGTACGACACCTCCGAGTTCTGCACACGTTCAGCTCGATGACATCCCTCGAACTCTTGATTCAGCAAAGTTTTGAGGGAGAGTTTCGTCAGCACAACGACATGGTGATGGTGATGGTGAAGTGATCCGCACAGGGCTTCGCCTAAGCACTACGACAATATGATCGGAGGCGTAAACTGTGGAGGGGGCGCCACACACGGCTAGGAATCAATGTTGTGTGTTAATATATATATATATAGGTGGGAGAGGGGCGCCCCAAGGAGGAGGGATCCTACTTGGGCGCCTCCTCCAAGTCGGCCTCCCCCCTTCCATATACATCGGAGGGGGAAGGAAAAGAGAGGGGGAGAGAAGGAAAGGGGAGGCCGAATCCTCCCCTTTCCTTCTCCCTCCCCTTCCTTTCCTTCTCCTCCTATTCGGCCTATAGGGGGCAGACCAGCCCCTTAGGGGCCGGTCTGTCCCCCTTTACGCCCATTAGGCCCATATAGTTTGCCGGGGGTTGCCCAGAACCCCTTCCGGTGACCCGATACGTACCCGGTACCCCCGAAACACTTTCGGTGTCCGAATACTATCGTCATATATATATATGAACATTTACCTCTCGACCATTTCAAGACTCCTAGTCATGTCCGTGATCTCATCCAGGACTCCAAAGAACATTCGGCCACCAAATCACATAACTCATATAATACAAAATCGTCATCGAACGTTAAGCATGCGGACCCTATGGTTCGAGAACTATGTAGAAATGACCAAAACACCTCTCCGGTCAATAACCAACGGCGGAACCTGGATGCTCATATTGGTTCCTACATATTCTACGAAGATATTTATCGGTCGTACTGTAATGACAACACATGTTATTCCC